GTCAGATTGTAATGTGTATGGTGAACCTTAGGACTTCATATAAAAAAGTTCCGCCTGGTGTATAGCTGGGCGGGTGCTGTTTGCACGACACTAGCGCCCCTAAATGAGGCTGACGAGTATAAAAAGTTCTTATACTTGTCTTTTATAAAGGAAGACCTTAGTGTCTATGTGTACATAGTAGGCTATACACACACATCGAATTCCCGATGGTTCCTGATGAATCGGATGAAATCCAATGCTTGGTTGCCGCTGTTAGCAGTCTTCCGACCAGCACACTTTGATCAGCTGATCGAAGGAGCTGAACATAGCTAACAGCTAATCAGCTTCTAGCTCTGTTCGGGTATTCTGATAGCGGTAAATCTAAAATTGATAGTACAAAGATTGTATGGTCAAACTGTAATGTGTATGGTGAACATAGTATATGTGAACATAGTGTGGTGACCATTACATGTAAAATATAAACAGTGTACCAACAACGTGCATCCTGACCCTTTATTAAAAAAAAACAAATTCTGTTTGGTTCTTATTGTCACCTGTGTCTACTTTGGAAAGATTTTGTCTCACTTCTGTCCTAGTCACACAGGGTCAGAGACAGAAAGTGATGTGAATGGGGACAGTTTTTTTTTGTATGTACCATCCTGTCCTTGTGACCCCCATTTTGTCTGGTGTCACAATGGGACAGATGCACCAAGAAAAATCAAAACAAATGTAAACCAATAGGTTTTAACCATTCCCAACTTTATCCAAAAGTTAAAATTGAAAGTCTGGGCTATACATACACTTTATGAATCTTTCAATGAAATATTGAGAAGGAAACAGTAAGAATTAAAGTACTCTTGCTTAAAAAATGCTTAACCCTTGCAGGGGGCTACCCCCGCACTACAGGGGTTAAGTGCTCATTTTTGTCTAGGGTCAAAAAAATAACAAAGTTATACTCTCCCGATCTTCCGAGCTGGCTGGCTATGACAGTGCTCCCTCCTGCCTGTCTCCTTGGACGATCAGGTGAGTATAATTTTTTTTATCTTTGACTCTAGGCAAAAACGAGCACTTAACACCTGCAGTGCGGGTGTAGTCCCACTGCAAGGGGTTAAGAACATTTTTACCTGGAGTTCTTTACACTGTACAGAACGTTTTATTGTATCCATACATAGCCAGTACAAATAAAAACCCTTGAATATAACAATTACACTTGTACATACCCATACAAGCCACTTCATGAGTGGATGACTGTGCTCGTCTCATCTGTACTTTGTCATGGTGAAACAAAGACTTGGAGCTACTGTCCTGTATAAGTAAAAGCAGGATGGCCATCGGCAGAGCCAAGGAAAGAACCGCTCTCTGTCCATTCATCTTCTCAATCTTTAGCAGCACAGTGCAGTCACAAGTTATCACATGTATGAGAGAAGGAAACCCACACTGAAAATACAACACAACCTCAGCAAGCAAGTTTCCAAGAAACTCACACAGCTAGTTTTTTTTCCGCCTTCAGGTCAGAACGCTGTAATGGGGTTTTTGGCATGGTAAAGTAGCAAATTTCCACAGCAATGCTGACAATATGAAGTAAAACTAAAAAGACTGGTGAGCCTCACTTCCTTCCTCACCAAGCTTATGTGTCACGAGTTGACACAGCGTTCTCTATCTCTCACACACAAACTCACACAAACATACAGAGACAGGAAGTTATGTGTGCAGCTTGTTATGTTTTATGAGCGCGTGTGTCTGTGTGGATCACTCAGAAATGTCACTGTTATCACCAACAGATTATTATTATTATTATTATACAGGATTTCTATAGCGACGACAGTGTACACAGCGCTTTACAATATAAGGAGGACATTACTGTTACAATATAAATCAAGACAAGATGGTAAGGAGGGTGCTGCTGTGAGAGATTTTTATTACTATTGTTAATGATGATGATAATGATGATTATAAATAACACTGCATATTATTATTATTGTTATTATTATACAGGATTTATATAGCGTCATCAGCATGTGCACTGCTTTACAATATAAGGAAGACATTACAGTTATAATACAAATCAAGATAAGATGGTAAGGAGTGCCCTGCCCGTGAGAGATTTTTATTACTATTGTTGATGATGATGATAATGATGATTATAAACATATTAGCATATGATTTATCATTATAAATAACACTGCATATTATTATTATTTTTATTATTATGCAGGATTTATATAATGCCAACAGTTTGCACAGGACTTTACAATATAAGGAGGACATTACAGTTACAATACAAATCAAGAAAAGATGGTATTATTATAATACAGGATTTATTTAACTTTAACAGGTTGCTCAGCGCTGCACAATATAAGGAGGACATGCACTATTTTTTCTGGTCTGGAATGCACCAAAAGGCATGTAAACCCATCACAAACACATGCAAACACACTGCAACGCACCGGGCTGCACCTGAATACCCATTTTAAGCTTCAAAAAAAAAATGCACCAGAACATGTCAAAATTGCATCAAAAACACATCAAAAACGCACTGCACTGCGTTGCACAAACACATCCAGATCTGGTCCGGACATGGTGCGAATAAGCCTTAAAGTGGAACTCCAATCAAGTCTTTTATAGTTTAAGAAGCTGTGGACAGGTTTTAGAATCTATGAGGTTCATATTGCTGTCAGTCCTGTTTAGTGTTTCAGTTTAGTTTGCAGTGCCGCGAGGGAACATGGAGCCACCTTCCTGGCCAATCAGGAAGCCGGGCGGCAGATTTTGACTTGCCTCCCGGCTTTACTGGGCAATCAGGAAGCCGAGCGGCAAGTCACCATTTAGGTCTGGTAGGTAGGAAACGCCAAAAAATCGAAAAAAACAAACAAAAACGTGGTGTCCCCCTAAAATTCCAAACCAGACACTTCATTCGAGTGGTGGATTGGCAGGGCAGAAAAGGGGGGGGGGGTGAGCATGCGCCCCCCCTTCCTGCATCATACCAGACCACATGTCCTTGGTTGGAAAAGCAACTTGTCCCCATGCCAATTAGGACAAGGGCCTCTTCCCACACAACCCTGGCCTGGTGGTTGTGGGTGTCTGCAGGCAGGGGGCGTCATCTACATCTGGGTACCCCCATTTATAAAAGGGGCATCCAGATGCTGCCCCCCTTGTGAATGAATAAGGGGTAGTTGTTACCCCTACTCATTCAAAGAGTTAAGTAAAAAGTAAATAAACACATAACACCGTGGAAAAAATCCTTTAATTGAACAAAAAACAAAAAAGTCCTTTATTTAAAAAAAAAAAAGGCTCCAGGGATGCAATCCAAAGGTCAATTACATCGTCCAGCAATGTAATCCGACGTCATTCGCGATGAACGATGCCCACCAACTCACCGAAATCAAAAAAGGCCCGCCGCCCTGACTGCTACCGTCAAACTCATGCAAGACGCTCATGCAGCAGTTGAGCTGCAAGCTTCACATCTTTTTTGACCACACGTTTTTACGCATTTGTCGGGAGCCAAAGCAACGTACACACGCATTTCGCCTCCTGGGTTTGAGATGCCATTAATAAGTAATAGCTCCACAAGCATATCATGCTTTTTCACTGCGACTTGTGAATATGCACCAATGCGCATGCTTTGTCTCATGTTCACATACATGACAAATGTAAACGGGGGCCTAAGATTGCATGGTGAAAACTTTTATCCACCACAGTAAAAACAAATAAAACCCTTCAAGTGTGTCACAATGGTCAAGCATACAGCTATGGTTGGGGATCTGCACATGCCCATGGCTGTTAGGAAGGTTATGAACACAGCCATGCTCAGATAACTGTGTGTGTGTGTGGCCCATGGCATTGGGTTACATTACATGGCTACGTGACAAAGTGGTAATAATGGAAAGATGTATTGCCTTCAGGCCAGCCAGAGAGATACTCTACGGAGATAAAAACATGCAGCAATAATAGAAATAGGTTCAAAATCCTATCTCTATCAAAGGAGATAGAGAGACAGGCACACACCCAGAGACATGTTAGGAATTACTCACCAGAACAAACCCCTGTCATAAGATGGAAAAAAGTATTACAAATACTAAACCAACTAAGTTTCAGTTTCAGTGGTACTTCCAGTGGAAAAAAGGTGAGAGTTTTGATCTCTCCGCCCATAGAGGATGTAGTCATGGTAGATGCCATTGTAATCAAAAGAGGGATCAGTCAACAGATCAGTTTGATTGTGATCAGTATGAGAATTCTGCATGCGCAGATATGCCATAGGTCCACCAGGTTTCATAGACCTGGCAGAGACTCACTGTGTGTCTGCACAATGTACCCATGCACAAACACGCCTCGTGTCTCTGCCAGTCTGATATCTGGTAAAGACCTGCAATATGCCTGCGCATCTATGGAAATTCCTCTCAAAATCATGTGTGGGAGCAGAGAACTTTGGCTGCAAGGAAGACAATGCTGGATTCCACAGGCTAGTATATATGGGGGTTTTTTTTCATTTTCATTCATGGACAGTTATTTTTAAAAATGTTAAATGGAATTTGATCTGGGTAGGGTGAAGTTCCTCTTTAACCTGTCATATATATTACTTACTAATGGCCATCTGTCACTGTTAAATAAAAGGTTATCATGTTATCATGTATCATGAGGATGTATTTTTATACCTTAGAAAAATGTTAGTCACTGGTTAATCCAATCTGCTAAATCTAAACCTGCCATACATGAGGACGGGGTATGTAGGGAAGTTGTGAATTGCAGAATTCATTATTTAAATGTCAGCATTTGTGGTCACGTGGGGAATTAAATACCCTTACTTAGGGATGCACTGATACCGATACTAGTATCAATATCGGTGCCAATACCGAGTATTTGGGCTCGTACTCGTACTCGCCCAAATGCTCCAAAGCCTAGCCCGATACTTCCTGTATCAGGTATACATCTAACTTACTTGGCTGATGAAAAGAATATCACATTTTTTAATCTATCCATTACTATTGGAAATGGAGAACTTGTACAAGTACTTTAACAAAACTTACTGCTGGTAATTTCCTCCTCCACTCCACCAGCCATAATCCATGGGCATTAATTTGGGGGATCCAGATGGGCTATTTGTTTGGTTACAGAGAAACTTTAAACTGTTTCAGGTTGAGGCAAATAAACTAACACAACACTTCAAAAAATAAAGCTACTGACAATGAACTTTGCCAAATAGTAAATTTAAAGCTCCACTGTGACGGACCCCTGACGGTGCAGTCCGTCACATCCACTACCTCCAGGTGCAGGGGTCAGTGATGGGGACTACATGTGCTCCATCGTACGTAAACCTGTACCGGTTCAGGGAGGGGGGTTAGAGATCTTTGACCGAGAGGATCTCGCTATGTACCTGTTCCATGTTACATCCTCGCACAGGTACATAGATGACATCCTAATGTTATTGGAGGTGTCGGATGTCAAGTTGAAACAATTTGTGGATATACTGAATGTCAATAAATGGAACTTGAAGTTTACATATGTTGCTGATAAAACATTAATATACTTTCTGGATATTAACATTTGTAAGGGTGAACAAGGAAATATTTACACTAATTTAAATAGAAAAAGTATGGCAGGAAATACTATCTTAGAAGCTACATGTTGTCATCCTGAACATATTATTCGAAACATCTCATTTGGATAGTACCTACACATCAGAAGAAACTGTATGATTGAAGAGGATTTTGAAAGAGAGGCAAACAATTTTAGGATCAGACTAGGAGCCAGAGGGTATACAGATAAATTACTTTTTAGGGCTTACAAAAGAGCTAAGAGGAAGCCAATAATAAAGAAAAAAACAAACAAACAATGACTCATGATAATGTGACATTTATTACAACTTTTTCTACACAACATGATGACATACAACGTATACTTAAGAAATATTGGTTCCTTCTTAGTGATGATGCAACTCTGACAAAACATGTTTTTAAACACCCTAGCATTACATATAGGAGACCGAGAACAATGGGGAATTTGTTGATGAGCAGTGAATATGATTCCCATAAAAAAACACAAATGCTGTAAATATACTGTGAGGGAGCTTTCTCATATCAGCAGTGTTCGTTTTCCAAATTTTTACAAGTAGGGTCAACATTAATCGAACCAAATGGATAGTGACACTATTATTGTCATTTTGCAAACTTTGATACACGTGGAGTAGTGTATTTACTTACCTGCCATGTAGAATGTTTTATGTTGGAAAAACAAAAGGAACTTTTAGGGAAAGAATATTGGATCATATTTACGATATTGCACCCCACAACTTGATATCCCCAGTGGCCTGTCATTTCCTTTCTAAGCATGATAGACAAACAACTGGTTTAAAATTTACAATGCTAGACAGAGTACTTCCAGGTAAAAAGGGTAGGGATTGGGAATCTGCATTTTTTTCTTTTTTATAAATTCTTTTTATTTGGTTTGCAAAATAGAAACATACAAACCATTGCAATATACAATATGCACAACTACACCCAGCAGACCGTGGGGGCTCACTCTTCAGTTACAAACAAGAATTTTAAACAGATAAAGCCTTAAAGAAAACATTGACTTGCCAGCAAGAGAGGGAAGACACCATATAAGACATTATTACCCACCTCAAATATATACAGGCGCAAACTGCAATATTACATTAAGGCAAAGCAAAACAGGCTGCAGAAGTAAAAAAACAGCAAAATGATTTAGTAGTAGTAAGGGAATTTAACCAGCAGCCCCAGGCCCTATCAAACTTTCAGGGGCAGCCCCTATGAAGATAGGCAGCCTTATATAAATGTAAGTATGAATTAATTAAACCCTTCCAGTGATACATCGTCAGAGGCTCCATCTTCCTTCATCTCATGGCCAGCAATTTCCTCACACATTCCTTGCTCATTGGGTCCCTGCTGCGAGATTCCTATCTGTCTCTCCACCTGACACCGGGATAACAAGACTACTGTTCAGGAAATTGGAGTGGTGGGTGGGACTGTTTGGCAGCCCTAACACCTGTAATACCATAAGTGTGAGGCGTGGACACAAGTTCCACAAAAAGGAGCTAAACAGCATGAGAACAGATACAGATACAGATTTAAAGAAAGAGCAGCAAAGAGAAGGGAAACTACCATGGATTACAGTAAGGCACACATTACAGTATTGTTTTATGTTAAAACATCTGAGGGTTTAATGTCACTTTAATGCCTGAAATATATTACCCCCTGACATAAGCATTAAACGCATTCCCGTAGGTGCTGGGTAACTAGGAGTTTACTGTACTAAGATTTACTGAATTCTATACTTTATCAAATGTAAAACCACAAAGGCAATTTCTCAGATGCATTGTCACTATTTGAAATGCTGTGTAGGTAAAACTATTGATGAGGTGCATATTAGAGTAGGGGAACACATTTGTGACATCCAAATCAGCAAGCCCTATTGCACAGCACTTTAAGGCGTTTATGAACTCTTGACCAGAAGGATTGTTGGCTAAAGGAATCTATCACCAAAATGTCTTCTAGACAAGGTGGATTTATAAACTAGTTAGTGTTAGATCCAGTAGGTCTGAATATAGACAATAATTTTCAAGAACTTCTAGATTAGTCAGCTGTGTAGACATGACTAGCCCTCCATCCTCTATAGCTTGCATTTTAAGGAGTGTAATTATTTGTATAGCTAAAGCAATTAATTGATGGACTATGTTCATTTAAAGTGAGTGTGTCCATAAACCAATCGTAGGTAGAAAAAGTGTCTCTGATACAGGCCATAGCTTCACCCCAAGGATGTCTTCAGTCTGAGCCCAGATTAGAGGACATCTGTGTCAGTTGTCAATATCTGAATTCTGCAACAAAAGCATTGTACTATGGATTGACAGTGTGTCATACCTGCAACATCAAGGCTATAAACTGGAGTATACATAAATGGCTAAATACATTTTCATGAGTTTATGCCCATTGTCCAGTTTTAAGCTGACTAACAAGTTTGAAGTGATGGTTACTTCTCAAATCTATATCAACAAAAATTGACTGTTCTGGCCATGTGGATTATTACTAAGATACCTGTTGTTGACATCTTATTACTTTATTATACTTTATTGACAGGTCGTCATGGAAGTATTTATCTAAAGTTAATAGAAGGATAGAAATAAATGAAAGGATAGTTATTTGCTAAAATATGTAAATAAGGTAAATTATAGTTATTTCACAAGTAATTTAATTCTAACATTTAATGGTAACTATCTGAGTCAGTATAAAACCTTTTAACTGTAACTAAGATTGTGACATATACTACCAATATGTTAGGCTTGTTAAATTACTGTTCTAAGTATAGTTTACTTCTATTATGGTATCTAAAACATGTGAAACTCAAAGGTCAAAGCAGTCAGCAAAATACCACAATGATGGGAAAAACGTATTTTCTTAGAATCAACTGGTTTAATTACTAATTATTCGCAGTCTACTGGGCTCTGTGCTCTTTTAATTTTTTTTTTCGAAGTTTATACACTAGTTTAAATAGATTTCATTGTATAGAAAATTTAGATTTAATATCTAAAGTAAACCTGTACTACAGGCAGATTTTTCAAGGTAACAAAGGCACTGTACAGCAGCTGAGCTTGCCAGCACTGCTTGCAGCTCTGATCCTCCTCTTGGGCTCCAAAAAAAAGTAAAAATGGCAATGGAAGGACTAACAGACTTCTTCTATAACAGAGAGGAACATTCGGCTTATCTGGTTCCTTTGGATCGACTTCACGCTTTCTTCTGACTATAAATGATTGTTGTGAGAATTACACCCCCGTGCTGGGAGTATTGCATCCCGAGTGTTGACACCCGTTTAAAATACTATACTTTTTACTCCCTCCGACCCAATTTCGGTCTAGGCTGTGATGTGCCTTGGATGGCCATCACTTGGGCAGATTAACTCACCCTCTTTAGGTAATAATCCTGGAGTCCCCTGCTGGCATGTTGACTATGTTTAAGTGATAGCTCATTCAATGGCTTGACTTTTCTGCCTGTGCTTTTTAGTCTGTTTGGTGTCTATAATAAAAACGCAGTAATGAAAATAAATTAACATTCTTTGGCCTGAAGATTACATGAAACCCCCAATAACATATATTTGATGAAAGCAGATAGCCTGTTGAGTAATGCAAGATTGTAGCTGCAAAAAAATAAAAAGTGTGGTACTTCCGCATATGTGCACACGCATTGTAAATAGTACAGGCTTACTTTAAATTTGCTTGCATGATTGTGCAGTTTGGAGTTTATTAAGTAAGACCCTTACATAATTTATCGTCCTAGCATAAATCCATTTTTTCAGATCTTTACAGAGGTTTGCAATTTTTTTCTATGCTTGCAAACCATATGCAAGTAATTGTGGACAGCCACCAGTGAGAGCTTTGCAAATATTCTGCACTAGATTTATCATTATATTTGCAACACTTATTTTACTTTAAACAATCACTACATTTTGTACAAGTTGTCTTTTAAGGCACCCACCTACCCCCCTGAATGCAGCCCACCTGGAAAAACACTTAACTTCTTCCTCAATACATCATTCTCCATTCTATGGCCCTGCCGGAAGCCAGCCTTCAGCCTTACTTCAGGAAATGTCATCAATGGGTGTCCTTCATCCTGCAACATGTGCTCTACGGCCCCACTCTTTCTATTGGGGATAGCCATAGTCTGCAGGACCTCTGGAGAAAGCCATAAGTAGACTTAACATAGAAATGAATGGAGCCAATGGCGGGCATACGGAAGATGAAGAGGACCCAGGAGAGATGCTTTCTGAAGCAAGACTGTGCAGCTTCAGACATGGCCACACAGTGAAGATCACTAGATCAAGGACAAAGGTAAGTGCTTCTCTAGGTTGGGTGCAATCAGTTACTGGATATATATGATTGTATTACTTGTATAATTATGTCTTTTGAGCTGTAGATGGAGCTGTAGTGCAATGCTGGTCCATGCTAGTCTGTATATACAGGAAGTTCTCTCTCTATGCTGTAAATGCTGTATTCTGATGTAATGTCCTTCGAAGCAGGTTAAACTTTATACAGCATTCTCCAAGACCTAAGT